TGGTCATATCTTTTTATACTTCTCTGTCTGATAAATCTGACCAAAAGATGTGACAGAATCCAAAAAATACAGGTGTAAACTAGTCATAGAATCAAATTAGAGCCGAGAACTTGGTGACATACTGTAGTTCCGTGTAATGTAAGCACCCCAGCTTTAAAATCTAATTTGTGATCTAGTTTAGGCGCCAGCAACAGTATCCAAAAGAGACATTACCAAACATTACATCACTATTATTGCATTGACAGTAGCGTGCTGAGTTTTCCCGCTGACTTGGGACAGTGGGGGGAAGAACTTCAAATATGAGAGACGATCAAACACCGAATGAATCAAAACTGTATCAGAAGAAAAAGAACAGTTTATGCTTTTTGGGAACAGAGATTCACACAACAAAAAGAAACCACTTCCTCTTTGTGAATGAGGCTGTCCAAGAAACCGCACAACTTTCATGAAAATACCACCCACTCAGCTGCACTCGCCTGGTGTTTACTGGTCCCTACAATGAAGCAGATGGAGCAAAGCAGTGAGCACTTGCACTTGAGAATAAATAAATAGCCGTTTTGTTTTGGCTTATGCCGCCTCCAGCTCTCTCTGCCGCGACCTGTGGACCGGCGCCAACTAGGGCAGCCACACACACACACACACGTACACACACACACACACACACACACACACACACACACACGTACACGCACACACAAACACGATTTTGTTTCACCTATTGTTTTACAAACTTCCTGGAAATCCTACAAAGCGAGCGCTCGTTTTTGCCTTTCCGAAATGAATCTTTGGGCTTTTTTTTTTTTTTTACTGAGGCGGAGTTAAAGGGGAAAATGCTGTCTAGACAAGCTTGAGGGGAGCCATGATGGGAGATTATTGATTGGGCAGCAAAGAAACGCAGCTAAATGTCACCGGAGGAGCAGGAGATTGGCACCTGAAGTCAGGTGCGCTCTCTCTGCACTGTGTTGAACGCGTGCTACAGTTGCTAGTTGAAATGTCAACATGCCTCAATCGTAATCAGTCAAAACTGAAGCCAAACGACTGATTACTTTTGACATATTCATGGGTGATTAAGTCCCACACGACCAACTGTATCCATGGAGATAGAGTGGGTATGGAGGAAAACACAGTGTACGCATACTATTTGATACTGAAACTAGTATTGAAGAAAATAAAAAGTATTATTTTTTTCATGTTTTAATTTTTTTATCAAAAAGTGAAGATACATATGGACATAACAGATATAAAAAAAAATATTTAAAAAAAGTTTTAAAATGGAATGGACTAAGTTGGCCATTGGTCTTCTATTTGCAGACTCACAATATACTACATGATTGTTATTGTAGTTTAACAGTGATCAGAGCTAGTTGGATTGTGTTTCATTTTTAATAGAATGCATTTTGTTCTGACCATATGACCTACTGCTCTCATGTCAATTAAGTATTTTAGTAATAGCTTGGCATAACCATTTTGATTAAAATAATTGATTAGATGTTAGTGTCACAAAAGGCCTGTAAATATGGGATTTTATATGGATTCGATTAAAAAGCTAAAATAATATCATTTACATACATCGTGCTGTAGGTTTTCTGGAGCGGGAGTTGTTTAGCATGGACAAACTTCCAAACGATTGATCTTAAAGCAACCTCGAGACCACTGTGATGGAACATAAAGACCCTATGCTGACCACTCATGCAGCCACTAGGTCTCTACAAAGTCAAATATACAAAAATATATACATTTTTTTTACATTTTAGACATATTGCATAATGCCCCTTTAAATCTCAACAATATATTAATCAATGAATAAAATAAGTTGACAACTATTTCAATAATCAATTAATTGTGATAGATCAAATAGCTTAAGTAACATTGATATGAGACGAACAGGACACTGCACAACCATTGAATTTGCCAACACAGATCAGAAAAACACAAGTTCAAACACAAGAAATATGACAGAAAACACGTTGGTATTGTTCCATGAGGGGCAGATGACCAATGTCCATAAGTGTCGATAAATGTCCATAAATCAAGCAAAGAATCACCATAAGACTACAACCAGACAAACAGAACATAGCAACTTTTGATGGTGTCAAAATCACTAATGGACGTTCCAATGACGTGACAAATCTCCTTATATGGGCACGGCTGGAAAGAGAGGCGTGAGCGCAGGGATTACCCTCACCATGCAGGTGTTGAGTATCAAGTGATTCAACAATTGGCAGACGGCCTACTACACACGGCGTGCCAAAGCTTTGCCAACCTTAGCTTTTGGGATCAACGCCATCAGACTACAATTACGTCTTTTGCCCGCGCGAGCTGTGGCGCACTCGGTACATATTTGCTCTTTTGATTACCGCCACACACCGAGGTTGTTTATATTTGTGAATGTGCGCCCGGCCGAGCACAAAAGTGATGATAAGACAAATTGAGGAGAGAGGGAGGGGGTGTAAGGGAAGGGTGTAAGGGAAGGGATCGCAACCAGTCAGGGTGGATTCATGATGTGGTGTCTCTACACTAAACTCACAAGTGGCCGCTTTTATTTGCCTGAAGAACAACAGCATTTGTCAGAGAGTGACACAATATTGTTGGAAAGAAGGCAGTGAAAAGAGGAACTGTCATTATTATGTAACTTGTGGAAGGAAAAGTAAACCACAGCAGAGGACATAGAATAGAATAGTAAGAGCCACAGGTCTATTTTTTGTGATTTTAAGAGGTTCATGGCTCAAACCGCAGAGCCCTCCATCCCGTATCAAAGAGTCTGCATCACACATAGAATTTACTACACAAAAATGTTATATATCACGAACAAAAGTGGCTTTGTTGTACACATTAGAAGCCATTACGAAAGCTTTTGGATCACATGGTCTGTCTATTACTGTGTTAAATTGGGTCACTATGAATTGGTGAAACAGTTCTTTGGAAAACACTTAATAATAATTATAATAATAATACATATTATTAAAATATAGTGCTTACTCATTACCAGTGATGGGAATAACGGCGTTACTAGTAACGGCGTTACTAACGCCGTTACTTTTTTCAGTAACGAGTAATCTAACTAATTACTTTGACAGTAACTATAACGCCGTTATCATTTCCGACATCCCGTTACTGCGCGTTACTCAAGACGCACAATGAACGTGTTGTCATGAGAGAAGGGAGGATGAGAAAACCTCTCAGCAATTATTGGCTGATGTAAATCATATTTCCTTTACAATCTACATGTCTACAGTTGAGAGGATGGTCATAAATTGTGTTTTTGAAACAAATATGGGTCTTAATCGCGCTCAACCACGGCTTGTATCACCGTGAGGTCAGCCACAGAGGAGCGCATGTGAGCGCAGAAGTCGGCTGCATACAATTCCATCGATAAGCTCCTTGCTCTTCCTGGTTTATCTGCTAAGGACAGCAACAGGTTTGGCTAACATACATATAACACATTTTTACATAATCTAAAATGCACATAGGGTAATTTTTCAATTACTATAGGAATGATAAGAAAGAGAGGTGAAGTGTAAGACGGTTGATTTTAGAAATTGGATGCAGCCGGCTGCAGCAAAACAGAGGAGTTTACGGAGGACACACGCGTTTTGTTTTACTTTTTAAAACTCATTGGACTCATTTCCAAATGGAGGATTACATATCTACGCTCAAACCATTCACTGGATTTAAACAAGGAACTGGTCTGAACCGAAGTGGACTGTGCAGGTCATTTATAAGGTAAGACCCATAACTCATAGTTTTGCGTTTTGTATGAACAAACAATGCGGGCATAAAACATATTTTGCTGTAGCCAAACAAATTGTCCACTTGATTTATATGATGTACATGTTCATCTGATTGGACTGAAGTCAGTGCTTCACCAGCCTCACCGCTCGTCACCGGTGTTTCCACATTCACAGTGGCGGGTGTTTGTGTTTAGTGCTTACAGCACAGTGAGAGATGAAGAGTGAACAGGACTTCAGCAGCAAAACAGCCTTTTCTAGATGGAAATATTGGCACTATTAAAGGTAAAAATGCGCACGTCGGGTGCACATTATGTTCCAGAACAAAACGAAAAAGTAACGCAATAGTTACTTTTACTGGTAACTAGTTACTTTTATAGTGGAGTAACTCCGTTAGTAACTCAGTTACTTTTTGGGAGAAGTAACTAGTAACTATAACTAATTACTTTTTCAAAGTAACGTGCCCAACACTGCTCATTACTCAAACACTGTTTTTTAACATGCTGTTTGTCCCAACAGAGTTTTGTGTTGTAAAAGCGGTCTAAAGTGCATGATGTTGTATTTATCTTATTAGAAAATATGTTATCTTTTGCACACTGGGATGCTTTGGCTTAACAGCTGATTGGCTGTGTGAGGGTGGTCCTCTCTTTTTCACCTTTCTGTCTGAGGAAGCTGATCTAAAGACAGAGGCTAGAAAATAGACGCATCTAAAAACTATTGATAGAATAATTTTGAGAGCAAGGAACCAGTCAGATGAATTGTATAACCTAGTTCCATTTTTGTGGAGAGGTATCCCAGAAAAAAAAACAAGCATCATAACCACTCCCAACATCAGACTAAGACACTTTGGACGCTTATTAGCTGCTTATTAGCTGCAGCTCCACTTAGCCTGCGTGTTGCATGAGGTCACGGCCGACATATAGACAGTGCAGTGTAGTGTACGGGCTCAAACCAGGCTGAAACCAAATCTGGCGTGTGCACCTGTGGAAATAAGATACTGTGTTCCACCATGGAAAAATAAAACCTGCCCCCCCCCCCCCCCCCCCCCCCCGCCTCCTGCCAGCCTTTTGACTCCCTGTCACTGTACAGGTATAGCGCAATAACCAGCCCATTGATGTCACATACGAGTCCACTAAAGACAGTATGTGCAGAAACATGAGTCATGAGATGTATGGGACAGAGGACGTGCTGACAGGAAGCAGACACCACGATCCAGTTTTTGCAGACGTGAGGGGGAGGGAGGGGTGGGTGTGTGGTTTCTGGGGGTCCTACCTTGGTGGTCTTCTGTCCTCCTCTGCTTTTTCAATGTTGTTTCTTTACATTTGCCCCCAGCGCTCATCCAAACACAGGCCTCGGAGCGGAGCTGCAATCAGAGGACAGCGTCAGTGATTCTGGCCTTACTGTATATTTGCCAATCGCCGAACCAAAACAATGTCCGCGCCAAACAGTCCAGAGCGTGAACCGGCTTAAGGGGTGATCTAGCGGGGAGGAAATTGTAGCAGTCGTAGGGAGAATCCACATGGTCACTGATGCATGTGTTTAGTGCCAAGTCAGGGATGACAGGGGCGGAGTCCTTGCATGCCAACAGGGAAAATCCCAGAAGGAGGTGCAAGGTTTTTTCTTGTCTCTGCAAACCAACGCTAGATTTTCATGTGACCAGCTTAATGCTAAAAGGCTTAACAGTCTAATCCTTCAGCCAAATGAAGTGTCTAACTTAAGGCTTAGGCTGGCCAGAGGAATCAAAGGGAGTCTTACCTTCGGCCTGTTCTGATATTCAAACGGATCCATTGTGTAAAGTACCTCTGCGGCCAGCCCGTGTTTTTATAATAACTTTAAATACTTTGTTAGTTCAAATGTTACCACTACTCACTCACCTCTGATTTTAACATATCAAGTCAGCTCGTTTTCAGCCTGTCTATTCAACCTATTAATAATTTTATGACTTGGCACCGGGCCAAAACAAAATGGGTACGACTTTTATGGTCATCTAGAGTGTCAAGCAGTGTTTCTTGGAGACCAGTTTCCGAGCAGCTCAGTTTCCCAGTTCATCTCCGCAGCATATAAAACATAGCCAAATAACTCTCTCTCTCCCTCTCTCTCACCCTAAAGTTAACAAGGCTCTCAGTTCAGGTTTAGCACTCAAGAGTTTAGAGCAGAGTTCGCCCAAGTGTGAATGCTTCAAATGCATTCACAAGGATGTTTCTCCAGGAACTGAACGGTGTATTGTACAGTGTATTGTACAGTGTATTGTACAGTGTATTGTACAGTGGGTTGAGTCCAGTTCATTAAAACGGCTTCCCTCAGGGTTACAGCAGGACAAGTGCAGACATCAGCCATGACAGGTTCTCAGGAGGTGACGGGAGGCACAACTACTGTCAGTCTGTTGTGTTTTGGACTTTTTATCAGCAAACCACAATGCATTTTTATACTGACTTTATTTTTCGATTCTTTATTGTGCTAAAGTCATAGATGTTTAACTTAATTCTTGCCTCTTCGTTATGCTAAAGCTATAGATTTTAGATTTGCTTCCTTATTATGAGATGTTATATACCTGCTTCTTTTGTATGCTAATGATTGAATGATGAGATTTTATTTTATTTTATTTAGAATACAATTATTGTTCATTTATTTTGTGGTGTGCTCCTCATTCCTACTGTTCTGTAACCGTACAATTTTTTTGTTTAATCCAGTGCCCGTATTGTATTTATTTATTTATTCATTTATTAGCTACACAACAAATACATATGAAATAACAACAATCTGTAGATTTAATTTGCTTCGACGTCATACATTTATAAGTATACGTTTTTAATAGATTGTCATAAAGAAATCCCTGATAACCCCATTCCACCCCCAAAAGTCTATCAGTGCCAGCTCATCTAAAACACATGAGTTCATACAGTGTTTAGTGTTTGTACAGTGTTTTAACAAAACAAAAGAGAGTTATGAAACAGTTACGAAAGAACCGAGTCACTATTTCATAATCAATACTGATAATATTGAGTAATGATTACAAAATAACAGACTGTAATTTTGACCTACTTTCTCCACCTTGTGTCATCATCCACTGACCTTTTGCCAAGTAGATCAATTACATTTTTATTTTTCTCTCCGACTTGGCAGGCGGTGCACATGAGGGCACTCCTATCTCACTACAGGATTATAATAAAAGCATTCATCTAGAACGATTCACAAAGGAAGTAGCTATCAGTGCCTTCATCCAAAACAACCTCAGACATCTACGACTATTAGATACACTATAATATCTGGATCAAATTCATAAGAGTCATGCAAAGTTAATGTTTTCAAGCCCAGTTATAAATAGACCGGCAGAAAGAAAGCAGACAGCAGACATCTCCTCTACTGTATCCAAAACCCAAACACTTTGAGATTGATCCAGGGCTGTGGAGATTGTTATATGCAGCAATATTTAAAGAGCCAACAGACATTTTAATGTAATGTATATTCTACAAAGTATGCTTCAAGCTGTTTTAAAATGGCATATATGGAAATTAATATTAACAGTGATTTAGCTATATTACATGTCCTATAACACAAGTTGACAGCCAAAAAATGGTCAGAGGTTTCTCAACTGATTTAGACTAATTTTGGTGTTCTGAGTCCGAATATCACACGCATTTTGCTCTATCAGGTCAACTTTTTGAGATACAGCCATAGTGTTACGGATTATGTACGTCTATGTTATTATGAATTCTGCTTATCTGATTATCCATCTTATTTGATGGAGTAAATAAAAACTGAATGACTTTGGATACGTTGACTTTTATTTCTTGAGGAAAACTGAAAAAACGTCAAGGGTTTCTCAGCTGATGATCCACAGAAATGTGTTTTTTTACGCAAAATCAATTTAAAAAAAACATTTCTGTAGCAAAAAAACCTGACCTGATTGAGCAAAACCAAGGTCATTTTCGGACTCAGAGCATCAACATTAGTCTAATTCAGCTGGAAAACCCTGGACTATTTTCAAAAAATATTTGTTTGTTACCCAGTGTAATTAGTCACTATCTGTATACTGTATGAAGGAAAATAACATCCTAATATATTTCTTTGTGCTCAGGGTTAAGCATCTCATTTTCAAGAGGGTCCTAAATATAAATATAAACATACAAACATACTTAATAATTTACAGAAAATTAAGGATGTGAAAAGATAATTACATATTCACACAAGAATAAATATCGTAATCACCGACTGCCATTATTTGATTTAGCTTGTTTTTGGTAATTTTTTTCTAATGTTATTTTCACTGCTTTTTCCTGGTTTTACTGTTCACAAAACGTGTAGACGAAGTAAACTGATGAGACCGTATCAAAACATACAGCATGCATTTACACATACAGTCATTGGGTGGTCTGCCTCTCAGTGACCAGCGCCCAGAGGTGAGTGACCCTTTCAGGACCGGCGCGGGTTTGTTCTCATAATCCGATATCCCGCTCTCCACTGTGCCCATGCATCTGATGTGGCCGGCTAATCCATATGCTAAGCCCGCTCTCGGAGCACTGGGGAGGGATAAATATGCAGAGGCACAAGCGGCCAGATAAGAGGGCCAGCTGCTGCGAGGTACGACTCGACCCGCGGAGCCTCAGCGAGACGCCGCCGCTCCGGTCGCCAATTTGCAGGAGTCATGCTGCATTAATACTACATTTAGACCTAATGAGTGTTATAGGGAGAGTCGTGATACGCATGACGAGAAGAACACTGGGATTAGGCATCTGGGTTTTTGGAGGAGGCTCCGTCACCAGTGTGTCCGTGTGTTGTCTAAAATCTGCACAACGACTGAAGTCCTGGAGAGGGCATTTTGGCTCTGATGAATACTTTCAGATTTGGGTTGACTTTTGAAGGTATCCTAAGAACCGTTCTGCTCTCCTCAGGCTAAAACTAACACTTTTATCCTCATAAATATGGATTTAAGCTAGAGTGTACAGTATGAGTTGGCCTGTCACGATGATGACAATAGGACAGTCATATACAAGACATTTATGATCATTTATGGTTATTGGTCATGTGTTTCATATTGCATTTCCTGTGTGTTTGGAATCTCTACTGTTTTCCAAAAGAAATATTTGCTGTTATGATATATGGCTACACACCCATAATTTTAATTGAAAAAAAGATTGGATGTCAAAAAACCACCCTCTCCACTTTTTGAACAAAACTCTCTGGTCTTTTTTGACGAGCACGTGTCACCAGAATGATTGACAATTGGAAGGACCAATAGTCTTGATGATCCACCCGGAAGTAGAAAATCCTCCTATATACCTTTAACCAAAAACTGTCACATAATTGACTGGGGTGACATAAAAATAAAAAAAAACTCTTCTGATGCCAATGGAGAAGCGTGGCTGAAATCTACCAAACAGAAATACAAAACGAATGAATTAAACCCTATTAGAGCTGCAACTAACGATTATTTTGTAATCGATTAATCTATAGATTATTTTTACGATTAATCGAGTAATCGCTTGGCTGTGAATTGTGTAGAAGAAAAATATTTTTTCATCACAAAAAGCTAAAGTGGCAACACTCGAGGACGTATTGATGGCGTAAACTTAAAGTAAATGTTTGTAACAGGCTCTTTGTGCTAATTCTGCTCTGATTGGATGAGACAGACAGATATTCATGAAATTATAAAAACAAAGTCGGTTTTAATCAAAAATACTACATTTTCATGTCATTTTTGCTCTGTTTGAGTCCGTGTGAACCAGAAAACGATTAATCGATTACTAAAATAGTTGTCGACTATTTCAATAATCGATTAGTCGTCGATTAATCGATTAGTTGTTTCAGCCCTAAACCCTATGCATGCTCATTTTTCTAATGTCAAAGTTCATCCACTTAAGGTTGCTCAACTATTTGATTCTTCCTCTGTGCGAGTGTGAAAATCCCCATATAATACGGCAGTAACAACGAACAAAAGAGCAAAGTCCAAAAGATCAATATACTCCGCAACAAAGCTCTTTCATTTTAAAAACAGAAGTACAGCCTTGTTCCCTCCTCAGTCGGGAAATGATGATACCGCTTCACTTCACAGGAAGGTCATTGGCTCACAATTAGCCCGTCGTCATGGATACAGCTGTGTTTTCGTCTGGTGAGGTTGATCGGAGGCGACATGTGCAGAGAGCGCATAGGTATTTTTGTCCTGGTGGAGTTTTGGCAGAAAAAGAGGTTGAAAGTCCAGATTTGGTTGAGATTCACATCACAGTGAAACAGAACAGTATCGAGATCGACAAGTGTGGGATTTCTGCAGTCCATTTGAATAAACACAACTTACATTTATTATTAGAGGCTGCAAACAAACAAGGTTTGTGCTAATGCTAATGCTAATGCTTATGCGCTAGTTAGCAATATGTTAAAAGAAAATAGGTTTATTCTAATTAAGGAAAAAGGAAAAGAAAAACATATTTTGCTTGGTTATAGCTTATATTTTGTATCTGTGGTTACCGTAATTAAGTGCATTTATTTTCTACATTATGATGTTATTTTGATATTAGCACTTTCATAAATATATACAATTATATTTAATATTAAAAATGGGTTTGGATTTTTTTCATTTTGTCCATAAAATAAGAGAAGAATTTATGCTAACATTATAAATAACTGGTTCAAAGGTAAAAAAAAAAGGCGGAATACTTCAGACAAATGTATTAATGTTTTGACAAATGATTACTTTGGATTCATAGTTTTGAGTAAAATTAAGGATTAATGATAAATGAGGTATGACGTGCCGTATATAGATGGACAATGCTATGTCCCACGAAGCGAAATGGAACTCAATTGGAAAGTGCTCATGAACAAAGTTTTGCTGCTACTCGCTCTGGGTCGTATTGACTTAAGATTGAAAAGTAAACTCCTCTCGCTTTGTGTCACACTCACCATTTTGGCCTTAAAAACCCACGATTCATCACTTTAAAAAAAGGGTCTATGGGGCTGACTTCAAAAACATAAAATATCGGAATTCCTTCAACCGTCTGTACTTGATATGACAACAACTTGTGCTTTGTTTTTTGGGGGGGGTTTTTATGCTTTGAACCCATTTCTTTAGAAACGTAATGCTGACAGACTCCAACACGGCTTACACAACATGACAATTACAGTTTTGTTTTGGATGAATAATGTTCACGCCGGAATGGACTCAAATGCAGTTGAATGAGAGTGTTGTGGCTTGTCCTCAGCCCAACTCTCCTGGGCACAGAGAGCTCCATAAGTGAATTATTCCTTCCCCAGCTATATATACTGTACATGCCTATACACGGGCCCCGGCCTCGTGACAACGCCAAGAGGGCCGCACATCATTTCAAGGTTCAAGAAATGGTCACACAAGATTTGGACTCGGACTATTCATGCAGCTTGTAAACGCATTAGAAGGATAAAAGTAAATAGAAAGGGTATATGAGACAAGAACAATGCTATGGCCACGTAATCTCCTACATACTGCATGTGATTTCATTTGTGCCAATTTTTCCCTAAAGTGGTTGTGTACAATTGAATTTAGCGCTCAAATGTGTTAGTGGAAGTGAAGCGATATGTTTGAAACCGTTTTTCCCAGAAACGACAAGTACGAGTTTATGTATGGTTTTACAGTGAAAAGTGGTTCAGAGAGTTCATTGTAAGTGTGTTGTGAGAAACACCAAGAAGTACATGTAGATAAAACCTTGTCAGTTATATACGTACGTCTATATTTCATTCAATTCAATTACTGCTCGTATAGCCCTAAATCACAACAGTAGCAATCTCGGAGGACTTTACAAAACCGTTGAATTCGCCAACACAGATCGGAGCATAACCGTTCAAACACAAGAAATGCAAAAATATAAAACACATTGGTTTTGGTCCATTAAGGGCAGATGACCAATGTCCAAAAATTATGATAAATCTCCATAAATATCAATAAATATAATAACAGTGAACTATCCGGTGTCAGACGACTGTGTGGAAATGATTTACTTCTGTTGTGTTTGAGTCAAAAATAAAAAAATAAAAGAATTGTAACCACCACTATTGAATATTTTGTTGTGTTCAAGAGATCTTTGCACTTTCACTTTTCACAGCAACACTGGGACAGGTTTTAACGTGCCATTTTGAATACAAGGAGTTAGGGCTGCACGGTTGATTGCAATCAAAGTAGAATCGCAAGTTTAGAGGAAAAAATATTGCAATTATTCAAGTCTCTTACAACAACAACAAAAGACAAATACAAATCTAGAAATAGCTTAAATTAAAGAGCGACTAAACACCTGTGCCCAGCCTTACTCCGCCCACATGAAGATTTGAAAATTTTCTCTAAAAAGGGCGTTGCCTGGAGGACCAAGGGACAAGAAGGGGGGCTTAGAGTTGGGGTTGGTCTGGGCTGTGATTGACAGCTCACTTGTCACACAAAAAAAAACAGACAGTTGTCATTGCTGCTTAAAGCAATAGTTTACAGACCAGAAAGTCTCATTCCACCCTTCTTTACACACTAAGATTATTGTAAAGCTACACACCTGAACCTAATCACACTCAATAATCTCAGAATGACTCATGTAATTTAATTTTAATCCACTAGATGGCGCCAGAATACTCCAAACTGCAGCTGGGGCGTGTGTGAGAGTTGAATGGGTTTATATCACTGGCTCTGACAGACTGACGTCACACAAAACAACTGACGTCATAGAGAACTTCAGAGTCAATGGAGAGGCCAGGACCAAATTCAAATGTAGTACCACCAAAAAGGTTGAGAGGGCACCACACAGCGTTTTTTTGGCTCAAAAGTGATATTTTATCTAATTTAAACTAAAATGTCAAAAAAATGACCAGGATATGTAGACAGCACTACAATAAACATATTTATGCAGTTTATGAGTTAAAAAAAGTTGATTTGGTGTTTAGTCGCTCTTTAAGTAAAACATTTTGATTATAGTAGAAAAAACTTGTATTCTCGGTGGGAGAAAGTTGCTTATTTTTGTGCATTCTAATGTTGACAAATACTAGTGAAGTGGATTTGTTTTCAATGGATTCGTAATTCTGGATAAATCTGGTCATGCTACAGTTTTTTGTTTTTTAAACCCACAAAAATGTATTGTTTTACTTGAAATGCTAAAATGTAACGTGTATTTATTTATGTCTGAATTCTTACTTTTAAAACCTATATCTTGACTTGTCTTGGAACCTCAGGCAAATCATCGCAGTCTTACATGAGGTGTATTTTATAACGTGAAACAGAATCTCCAGCTTTCTGACGTCGCAAGAAACAAAATATTTCTACAGTAAACGTAAAATTCTATGCTCTAACTTTGCGCCCCTGGATTAGATATTTCTCCTGAGAGCTTAGTTCTAACACCGCTGAGCTATAGAGTTTCTCCTTTGTCACTAATTGCCACTGGTAACCTCAACTGACTGTTTCTATGAGAATAAGGTCACGCTGAGAACAGAACCCAGGGAAAACCGGTTCAGAACGTGCAGAAAAACGTGTAT